CCATCCTAACCCCGACACAGAGCCGAGCAGCAGCAGCAGCAGCAACAACAACAACAACAACAACAGTAACAAGGAGAAAATGTGTACATAAAACAATCTCGTTATGTCGGCATTATCCTGAAGAATTCTGGTTCGTCCTCGTCACTCGCAGCGCCATAAATCACTCACACGCTTGGCATATTTGCCCTCTCGCTCGCTATCTCACTCACGCTCACGCTCACTCACTCACTCACTCACGCTCACTCACTCACTCAGGCTGTAGTCCTGCTCGCGCACTCTTTGCGCGTCGCTTGTTCCGTTTGTTTGCGCTGGGAGCGCGTGTCCCTCTCCCACCAGCCTACGCTCTTTGCGACCCACTTGCTCTCACTCTCTCGCTCTATTGTTGTCCCGCTTGCACTCAACACTTACGCAGCTCGAGCTAGCACGCGCTTTTGTTTCACATTTTGTTTTGGAGATTTTTGCTCGATTCTTTTTGTGCTGTTTGGATACCCTGTGAAGGCGGCTCTTAATGGCTGAGTGTGTTTGCAGCTGCTTAGATTTAATTATTTATTTAGTTATTTATTGAAAATATATAAAATATGTATTCATTTTCTATTTTTTTAAATATTTATATGCTTGTATCTCTATGTATTCATTATATGATTAACATTGTTGCGCTAGCTGTAGGTATTCGAGAATTGCAGGATATATTGCGAGTCGAGTTGCTTTTATGCCGTCTTTTTTTTCGTTTCTTGTTCTTGTTGTTGCTGTTGTCTTTTTATTTGTTGTTGTTTGCATTTTTGTCCTGCCAGTATTTCACCCCGCGGTGACATTTTGGTGTGACAGACAAGACGTGTCCTTCGTCCTTAGCATTTTCTCTCTTTTTTTCGCTCGCGCTGCCGCTGGTCTCTGGCAAGTTTATCGTTTTTGTGTTGATACAAGCGAGGGTCGCTCGCTCGTCCGCTGTCCGCGTCTCATTGCGTTGCAGGGATAATAGGATGTTAAGTAAATATTTTAAAAAGCTTCACAAAGGCCGTACACAATCCTCGTCCCGCCCCCCGCCTCGTGCCCCATGTCCTGCGCCTAGACACTCGCGAGTCCTGGCAAATATCGTAGGGGAGTCCAAAGTTTCTGGCATTGGCCGCTCATTTACAGTATTTTGCCGGGTATCGGGAGTGGCTCCTGGAGGTGTTCGGTTTGCTGGTTGGACTTGGGACTTTTGCATGGGGAATGACTTGCTCGCTCGCTCGCTCGGCTCGACTGGCACAATCTAATCCAGTTTCGCTCGCTGCCAAGCACTTTTTGGCATAAATCATTTGCATACAAAATGAGCGTCGCCTGCAAATGAGAGCCCAAGATGAATGCTTCAACAATACAAACAACAACAACAACAACAACAACGACTACAATAATGAGAGCAACAACTCTGGCTTGTGGCAAATGAGGTGCCTCTGCCAAGCGGCAAAAATCCTTTCAATTTTCGCACACATTCAATTTATTAATTAAAACAATTTTTTCCTGTTTGTGATTTCCATTTCCGAACATTTGGCCAGAGCAAGGAGCAGAGGGATGGTTGGGGGGTAATCCTGGCGAGCGGATTGGGCAATTAATTCCAAACATTCACGAAGCTTTTTCTTTGTTAAGTTGGTGAGCGCACTGGGCGCAAATTATCCTTGCTATCCTTGCGCGAAATAAAATATCACAAACAGTTACGGCCCCATAAATAATGGGAATTTATGCCTGGCAAAAACTGTGCGCCTCCAACCGCGCCCCATCCGCCCCCGCGCAACACAAAAGGGCGGCGCAAACTTTTCTGCTGAAATTACCATTCAATCATTTCGTAATTGCCTCAACTACCCATCCTCAATCCCGATTCCCCTATCCTCCATCTCCAGTACCACCCACCCACCGCCCACCGCCCACTCAACTCGTTTCTTGCGTTCATTTACTTTGCAGCTTAATTCGAACAATCTATTTTAATAAGCCTCCGTTTGGGCTAGCAAATTGGATAGCTGTGCTATGGAAATTGGAAAATGTTCGTGTCCCTGCACCGACAGCAGCTCCTACTCCTACGTCAGCTACACCTGCCCCGGGCTCAGCCACTGCGAATGCCCATTCGGGGGCTTAAAACTATTGATTTTCTGTTCAAGCGGCGTTTAGCAAATTTTAACAAACTTTTCCTGTCTGTCATAAAGTTTCAAAACGTTCAATCATAAGAAAAAATCGGGAGAAAACAACTTTAGAAATGTCTATGAAATATATGTGATACAAATATGTGTATATTAATGATATATATAAATTTGTACTTAATAGATAATAATATACCAGACTCACCTATAGAAAAATTAAATTATATATTATAAAAATTGATATACATATGTATATAGATATTTTATATATGATGTAAATACCCTTTTAGCCGTGAAACGCCTGGTAATTCCATCTGTTGTATATCTTTATGAAACATGTAGTTTCAATACCGTTACTACAATCTCCAATAGCCCGCCAACTAACGCAATTGATGGCCCCTTTCAGCCGGGCAAGGGCAAACCTATTCCAAAAACCCCTTCTACGTCTATTTCTATTTCAGCGCCTTTGTCTAAATGTTTTCGCTTTTCTTTGTTTTTTTTCTGTTTTGGGAATTTATTGAATAAACCCTCCTGCTGAAAAGGCGCAATGAAACAGAAGCGAAACACAAATAAATAAGGATAATAACAGCAAAGCAAAAACTGCGATAACCAACGCAAAAGCAAGGGCAAAGGGAGGGCTGGCAATTTTATTGTTGTTTTTGTTTTGCTGCTTGGGTTGCTTGGCCAGGTTAATGGGTATCTGCTGCTGCTGCTGCTGCTTCTTCCTCCTCTCCTCCTCTTCTACTTGCAGGTCGAGTGCCACAAAGGGCAATTAAAAAATATTTAAACTGCCAAATTGCTGACTGACTGACTGACGGAATGACGGAATGAAGCAGCGCCCGAAGACAAAACTTGCCTTTTCGCCTCGGTTTGAGGGTCAAGAAAATTTATGCATAATTTTGCTTTGTTTCTGCAGCTGCCAACTTTCCCCCACACCCAGCCCCCCTTTTTTCAGCTGAGTTGTGTGATTGTGTACGTGAGCATAACGGTAAAATGGCCAAGCTAGACGCTTAACCCACGTCCAGGGTGCACTCGACGGCCCAAGCCGCCCCCCCTTAAGCTTTGGGGTGGCTGCTGTCAGAATTGATTGATTGAATTGCCACTTTATGAAATTTGTGAGTCTTCTGAGATGTGCGTGAAATTCGTGCGCCTCGCTCAGCTCGACTCTGTGTGTGTGTGTGTGTGTGTGGGTGGGTGGTTAGATTGAGCTGCTGTGCGGGTGGTTTGGGTTGGCTGCCCACATCGAGGGTTGATGCTGCTGATTTGTGCGCATTTCGGCTACCATTTGCAGCATAAAATACATAAAATTATGTGCAGCGCTGAGGCGGCCATTAAACTTGATAGATTTATGACAGCAACAGCAGCAGCAACAACAACCATCTGGTATGGGATGCTGTCGTCATGCCCACCCAATCCCCGTGCCATTCACATAAAGATAAAGCTGATTAAAATTGCAAAATTGCTCAAATGAGATTTGGGCCTAACGGTAAAATGTCCTTCATATGAACAAATTCAAATCCCATTTCCCATTCATTTTTATCGTTTGTTATGATGGCATATCCATAAATATATGGACATACATATATATTTTGATTTTCAAGAGCTCAATATTGAAATAGCTTTAAATAGCATGAAAAACTCTAAAGCTGTCATGAAATGTAAATTTATTTAATAATATATGTAAGTAGAACCTTTATTTGACTCTATTTTAATTTACAAATTATTATTTACACATTACGCATATTATTATATATGTATTTATACATACATATGCTAAATAAATTTAATTAAAAACTTTATTTATATATTATATTTAAATTTCTTTAAATACTTATACAACCCTCTCACTAATTGTCTACATACAGCGTACCAAAAAGCCACTCAATTATTCGAAAGAAGAGCAAGCGAAAACACTCCATCCAATACGAATGAGTTTTTAGCGATGGTTGCTCATATTCGAATTTCGAGCTGCCATTGCTCTGCGCGCTACACAAGCAGTGATTTTGTCTGTGTGTGCTTGTGTGGACCAGTGAGCGTGGCCAAGTTGACAGGTGATTGATTGACAGGCGGATGAATGGATGTTGCGCGCGTTTGAGCGAGCGAGCGAGGTAGTTGAGCGTTGAGCAGCGAATGGTGGAAGAGTCGAACACATCTAAATACACACAAACGCTGCTCCGCCCTAACGAAGAGGGAAGCAATGAACAAATTGAAAAAGAAAACAAAAACGGCAAAACGAGTTTTTTTATGTTGCTGCTTGTTAAAGTGGTGAAGCACATTATTGTGGTACAATTGAACATATCGGTAATATTTGCAATTGGCTAAAGTTAATCAACATACAAAATTTCTTCAAGAGAAAAATATTGTATATTAATATAAAAGATTGAATTATAATTTTATAAATTTGATTTTAAAAATACATTTGATTTACTATGTTTTCCCATATTGCATCAGATATTTATTTTTATTTTTATATAATATATACCTCTTAAATTTTAAAATATTGTTAAGTTATTATAATATCATTTTAAATTAGTAAATAATTTTTATCACTCAACGGCTGGCCGTTAAACTCAACAGCTCATAAGAAAGGAAATGACTCAAAATTCGAGTTCGAATATCATTTCGCGCTCACACAACGACCAGAGAAACTCTCTGAGCGGCAAGTATCGAAATGAGAGCACACCACGAAAATCAGCTGATTGTGAGCGGGTTGTTTTTCGAAGACGCCAGCAATCGCAACAAGCGTCCAAATTTTTACAAACCAAATGCAATCTCTTTGGACAAATACAAAGCAGTGGATGCCTTTTATATTATATTGATATATGTATAAATTGTAACTGGTAAGCACAAAGGCTTAGGGTGTTGTCTACGCTGATATTATGTTTCACTTACCTTAACGTGCTAAAGAAATCGGATATTTTCAAGCGAGGCGATCATGCCTTGAGGTTTCACTTATCACTTTTGTATCACTTATCACTCGTTTATCAGTTATCATTAACTTATTTTTCATTAATTTTCTCAATTAAACATTTGTTTTCATTTGCTAACTGTTTTTATAGTTTATATTAACTGAATTTGTGCACAGCGCACTTTTCGCCAACGTGCGTCATTTGACGCTCAACAGCTGGTGGTCGAATTTCGAAAAGCAGCTGCCGCGAGAGCGTGAGTACTGAGAGCGCCGCGTTGTCGATATCGAATGCGCACTGAGCGCGTGAGAGCATTTGAGTGGCTTTTAGTCGAATTCGAATTCGACTGTGCTGAGAGCGGACAAATGAATGCCATTGAGTTGAGTGCAATCGCAAAGATACTCAAGGTATGAAAACACCAACAACTGAAATACTTGACGCTGTAGTTGCTCTCAATATATGTAATTAATATAATTGCTTATTGAATAATTAAGATAAAATAAGATAATGCTAAATACTGTAACATAAGTATTTATTCAAAAAAATACATATATATTCAGTTTATTGAATTAGATGCTTACACAAATACATGCATACATATGCACACACACATACATGAAAATTCAAATCTAATTTAAAATTTAATACGCTGCCTCATTGAGAGTTTAATAGAAAAAACTCAGGCATAAAAATATGTACATTGAAAATTTGTTTGTAAAATTGAGAGTAGAGAATTAAGAGTTGATTAAATGCCATTTCAAACTAGTTTCAATTTAATAACTTCTTCCAACTACTCCAAGCTAATTGGAACTCTGAGTGGAAAATCAATTGGAGTCATAAAAGCCACATCTGTGCAAACAGGTAAATCAAATCGCATATCAATGATAATTATAGCAATAAAAACTTTAAGAGGAAACATCCTCAGTCATTAGCCAATGGAGAAGAAGAAGAAGAAGAAGAAGAGAAGAACCACTTTGCATAGCTCGCAGACGATTTCTCAAATGTCTCAACTGCAATTTGATGTAAAATTTCTTGGATTCATCTTGGATTTTTTAATGTATTTTATGTTCTGCATGTTCTTGTTGTTTTTGTTTTTGTTTTGTGCATGTTTCATATGAGACTAGAACTAATTGCGTGTTCACTGCGAAATCGTTTCAATTTATCGCCTCGGGTTGATTTTATGCCACAGATTCACATACATATTAATGAAGCCGCGCTCCAGCGACTCTGAGTGAAGACTGGACGCAGCTGAGATGTGAGACAGAGGATTGCCTCTGTCTCTTTCTCTCTCTCTCGCTCTGCCAGGCCGGGCTGGCAGCGGTGCGGCGTTGATTTATACGCTTCAATCCCACATTTTTATTTTCTTTGGCTGCCATTTAGCTAAAATATTTCATATCTGCGCCATCGCACAGCATTCGCCCAGCTTCAGGCTGGATGGCAAGATGGAGCTGGAGCTGGAGTTGGAGTTGGAGCTCGAGTTGGAGCTGGAGCTGGAGTTGGCGTTGGCCTGTTGCCTGGACAGCCGTTTGCCCCGTAATTATGCGATTTGTTATTCGAGATTTGAGGCGATTGTGACTGTGAATCATGTGCGCCGGGCAGAGCAGACAACAGAGCGCAAAATGATTTAAAATGCGATTTCAATTCTGGCATTTCTGATTCGCAATTCTCAATTCTCTGGCAGCGGCAGAGGCAGCCCGTGGCACGGGGGCAAGGCTGACCATATCGTCCATATACGTATTGCATGCGGATCCTGGACAGAAGGAGGCGAGGCCATGGCCAAGCCAAGCCGTTGCATGTGCAGCATAGACAACGGAGCAGAGAGCACAGGTATTCGCATTCGCTGACTGAGTGACGTACCGTGGCCTGACTGATATGGGAGGGAACCGGCAGTTGGGCCTTCAAGATGTGCAGCAACAACAGCTCAACATGCGCAATCGCTGTTCGCATGCCCAACGCACTGAGAGAAAAAGTTGTGCATGAAATAAATGGAGAGAAATGTTGTCGAAAAAATTTGATCTATATAGAGAAAACGAGAGAGTGAGGTTCCATAAAATTGCTTCAGGTTCTTAAGGTAGGGAGTAAAGGAAGAGTTAGGAAGTGAGATATAAATATAGATAGAGATATAGTAAGGCATCACACAAAGAGGGATACAAAGATAATAAGGTAGAGAGAGAATAGTCAATGGAGATATAGAGCGAATAATTTGCAAAGAGATGGAGAAGGCAGTGGGCAAGAATAACAGATATAGAGAATGAGTAAAAGTAGACTGATAGACAGAGAGAAATATTATATCCATATATGATATCCATAAATGATAATAATCTAATAATATCTCACAGCAATTCCTGTTTCTATTTTCCTACTCTATTTTGATTTCATAAATCTCATTCGCATGAATGAGATAGCGAGAGAGAGATGGAGATGGAGAGACAGACTAATATATTTGATAATAATATAATAAGGGTATAATCGCTCCTAGAGATTCATTTTGAACTCACATATACATATATCTGTGATAGAGCGCGATAGAAAGCCACATTTTAGACTGTGATTTACAATTCCATTTCAATTTCATTGCGGTTTGAATAAAAATTCCCATAGTCAATTATCCCAAATTCCAATAGGAATATTCCACGTTAAATATTCTGATGCGCTCTCCTTTATCAACAAATTTGTTGCAGTGTATTTGAGCTGTTTTTGCTGCTGCTGCTTCTGCTGCTGCGGCTGAGTGTTGGCTTCGGCTTGATTGCATTGCATGAGGCATGAGGCCCTCGTCATTTGGCATCGTCGTCCATCTTGGCACAGCGTCAGAATGTGCGATTCGTTAGCTTTGGCGGTTGCCTGGGCATAAATCACTCCTTGGACCCGGCTTGATCGCTTAGCCGATCCTCCTTCAACTTCAACTTCAGCTTCAGCTCCCGCTCCTGCCTCTGCCTCTGCGTCTGCGTTTCGTTGATTAATAATTAATTTGCGTCTTTTCGCCTGGGGTCTGGCTTGGCCGCTGCCAGCGCTGCTCACCTGACGACCTGACTCCTTTATAATGAACGGTTTGTGTGTGTGTCAGTGTGTGTGTCTGCGTGCGTGTGTGTGTGTGTGTGCCAGGACATTCATCGTACATCATCGAAATGTGCGCCCATTGCCCAAACGTCGCTCGGCTGATTGCTTTGGCTCACAGGTTGCTGCATGGCTCCGCCTTGGCTTAATGCATAAATTCTTCTTCCTCTCTTTTATTTTGGCCAGGCCTCTTCATCTAACCGGTATTTAATGCAACAGCAACAACAACAGCAGCATAAATTAAGCAAAAGGTGTTTATACATTCGACAATAAATCAATTAGTAAATTTTTTTTTATTGTTTTGTAATTATTATGTTCATAAATCTCAGCATTGAAGGCCGCATCAATGGCTTAAGATCACGATTAAAATATTTTGATAGACACGCCCCCAATGGCTGCCGCCCCATAAAATATGATTATACAGATATATTTGACTTGATCTTCAGCTGGCCTCAGCTGCCTCTGCCCAGTCGGTTTCGATCTTCAGATGGTATTAAGAGCTCCGCTCGTAAATCAAGCGACAAATTGTTCAGCCTCTGTTTAAGTATACAATAGGTAGGTGAGTATACATATATGTATATGAGACAGACATATAAGATCGAGCGTGTATATACATATATAGTAAATACAATAAAGCTTTTATAGAATATGTCGAAATTGAGTTTTAGTTTTAGTAATTTTATTTTCAAGCCTGGTTTTATCTCTATATCATATATCATATGATTACAAAGACCATATTGACAGGGAGTACTAGAGAGGGAGAGAGACAGAGAGATATTGAAAGATGGATTGAGAGAGAGAGAGATATCGAAAGATAGATTGAGAGAGAGAGAGAGAGAGAGAGAGAGAGAGAGACAGAGAGAGACAGAGACAGAAAGAGATAGAGAATTAAGAGTGTTGATATAATCAGGAACGGAACTTGAGCTCGATTGTGTTACATTTCTACAGGGACAAATTAATTCATATATAGAGTAGAATATTATATAATATATAATATTATATAACGAATATTATTATAACGACGATATATACAGTAGAATCAATTTATAACGACGCTCATGGCACCGTCTCCATACCCGGAAGACGTCGTAACCATATAAGTTTGTTCATATATAAACTCATAAAGTTTCTCTGGTAACCAGAGCTGTACGGACGCCATAAGAGGAGTCGTTATAGCCGGACTTTACTGTATTTATTTGCAATTACATCAACAGGTTACTCTTCGAGTGCCCGAGTACGTATGTACATGCATATATATTGCAGAAGAAATTCAGTTCGCTCATTCCATATTCGTATAATCAATATATAATGATATATAACAAGTTATTCAAAGTTTATTCGTTGTTTATTTACCTATAAAAGCTAATCTATGTCTATTGTCTAGCTTTTTATGCTCTCACGCCCATAAATCTCACAGATGTCACAATAAACCATAAAAATGCTCAAGAGTTCGTAAACTTGTCTTAACTGGATGCTGGGTATTTCCTAGTCGAGCACACTCCCCACTCTCTGCTTGCTAAGACTTTTTATTCTGTTCTCTTTTTTGCACTCTTCCATTCAATTAAGAGTTTTTCGTTGCATTTTACGTTTTTTCTTGTGCGCCATTTGAATGGCCATCAACCTGTTAGCCGTTAGGGCAGAGCCAGTTCCCTGGCAGGACTCGCACGTCAGTCGGCAGACGTCATCAACGCGAGCATCGTCAAATTTGAGGGCCTGTGCCCCCATTTAAAATCACTTTGCGGCAATGGCCACGCCCCCGTCATGCTGCTGCGGCAGCCCCAGCGTCGTGTTATGCATAAATAAACGCCCTGACCCCAGCACCTACGACTCCTGCTCAGCTCAGCTCAGCCGTTGCCCCGTTGCCCGCTTCCCGTTCCCCTTTTGCCTGGGCTGCGTCGTCATTTGCTTATCCTTTCGACTCTCGACTCTCGCCGTCATCGTGATTGATGGCAACTCTTGGCGCTCCTCGCTGGCCTCTGTAATATGCCAAGTTTTCGGCAACTGCCGGCCCCAAGTTATGACGTGTTAATAATGGCGCATAAACACACCGAGCCGGAGGCGTCACCTGCTCCGCGCGCCCCGATGACGGATGTGCGAGTCAAGAGCGTGCGGCAGGCCA